TTACCCATATGAAAATAGGAACGGCCGGGGACCTCACAATTCAACCCCGGTCCACTTGCTGGGGGACCCTATTACCCAGCTTCGGTAAAAAAAAAAAAAAAAAAGAACTGGAGCGGATTTTTGGCCAATTCTGTTCCTAGATATTTTCTCAGGCTCTGTATCAAAGCTGGGTAATGGTCCCAGGGGTGGGGTCCGACTAGCAATTTAAAAGAATTGGATTCAGCTCCTGAATCTGGATGTGTTTTATGCACAGATGCAGAAAGGGAGTTCAATCTCGATTTTCTGCACCATCCTCTTTGCTAGTGGGACGTCGCCCGAGTACTCTCCGGTTGTATTCTTGGAGGGATTCTTTTTTTTTTAAATATATATTATATATTATATATATCGTCACAAATCTGCCTTCTCCTCATTGGGGGACATCCATATATTTTTCTCTCACCTCACATATTATTTTTTAACTGGAGTTCTGCCACGTCATCATGGAACATATCTTCTCGGCCTCCTGGTTAATGTTTGTAATAACATTTTTTTTTTTTTTTAAGGGAAAAAAAAGAAACGAGGGGGAAGGAGGTTAACAACTTTATCTTTTTTTTTTTTGTTTTTTCTTTTTCTTAACAACTTCATGGAGGAGTTGTTGATCGTTTCTCTCTTTTTTTTTTGGGTTCTCTTTTTTTTTGTTTTTTTGTTTTTTTTGTTCTGTGACAAGATCCAGCAGCCTAGCTCAGTTTGTAAGGCACTTAAGTGGCATTCAGGAGGTCTTGGGTTCAATCCCCATTGGCCTCATGTACCTTCCTGGGCAAGCTTGGTGCCCACCACGTCGATGGAGATAGGCCCGTTGGGCCCCCCCGGGCGGCATTAAGCAGAGGAGACTGCTGATGTTCGCAGGGGGAGGGGACCACCACCGGAGGGGAAGCACAGCGACTGGCCCATCGAAGAAGCTCGGTCCTGAGCCTACCGGCTGACCCCTGGCTGTTATCGCCCACTGCTACACCTGCTGATGGGTGCAGCTCCCGCATGCTCCCTCGTTGGAGGCTTGAGCACGGTTGTCGCTGCTACGGGGTTCCCCGTAATACTATAATGGCAATAAAAAAAACGCCTGAAAGGCCATCCTGTCCCCATTGGACAGGTAATTGAATTGGTTGGCCTTAAAAGAATTAACCTTTTTTTTTTTTTTTTTTACAGAAAGAAAAAGGGGTAACTTCAGAAGAGTTACAAAAACGAGTTATAAACATGCTTTTTTTTTTTTTCAACGCAAAAAAAACTTTTATTAGTGGCATTTGGCCACTCATAAGCTAAACTGGCTGATGCTGCCAGGATAACTCCGGGTTGGGTTGCATTGTCAGGTCCCCGGGCTCAATTTTACAAGTACCGTTCTGCCAGAAGGATACTTCCAAAAAAGAAAAGGAAAAAGAAAAAGGAGCCCGGGCCGGCATTGGTGATGTTTTTTTTTGCTGATAAATTAAAATCCAGTCGGTGTTTAGACTTTACAGCTGTGCGAAGCTTTTTTTTTTTTTTGGATTTTATAGAGGGTCGATGGTCTCGAGACATCTTCTTCCAAACTGACCAGTCCCAGGTCAACTCGGAGTTATTTTTAGTCATCTGAGTGGACTGGGATTCGAACTGAGTTACTGAGGACTCTATTTTAATTTTCAACAGTTCATCATGGGTCTACCAACCCTCCCTAGCGGCAAGACTGGTTTTCAAACAAACAAACAAAAAAAAAGAAAAAAGAAAAAAAAAACGAGCCACAGTAGGCGCGTTGGAGTGGTAGACTGTTTGAAAAATGGATGGCAGACAAAAGTACGGTAACCGTCTTCACCTGAATAGAACGCCCCATCATTGTAGCGGCATTTTGGGACAACTTTCCGTCTAGATACAGAGATAAGGAAGGTACATGGGACGGCGTCAGCGCTGTTATGGTAGAGGACATGCACTCATTCCGTCATCATGCATATCAAGCAGATGCACGTCTGGATTCAGATGGTACGGATGAGGCACCTAGTGCAGATCACGCACGTGGTACAGATCAACGCATCTGAAAGTCGGGATTCTGATGATTCTGTGATCATGCATATCACGCAGATGCACGTCTGGATTCTGATGGTGCAGATCACGCACCTTGTGGTTCAGATCACGCACCTTGTGGTTCAGATCACGGACCTGGTGCAGATCACGCATCTGAAAGTCTGGATTCCGATGATTTTGTCATCATGCATATGACGCCGAAGCACGTCTGGATTCTAATGGTACGGACCACACACCTAGAACAGATCGCGCATCTGAGCGTCTGGATTCTGATGGTTCTGTCATAATGCATATGACGCACATGCACGTCTG